AGACATTACTTGTGTGTGACCTAGTTTTACATTAGTAGGAGACATTACTTGTGTTTGACCTAGTTTTACATAAGTACGAGACATTACTTGGTTTTGACCTTCTTTTACATTAGAACGAGACATTACTTGTGTTTGACCTAGTTTTACCTTAGTACGAGACACTACTTGGTTTTGACCTAGTTTTACATTATTACGAGACATTACTTGGTTTTGCCCTTGTTTTACATTAGAACGAGACATTACTTGTGTTTGACCTAGTTTTACATAAGTACGAGACATTACTTGGTTATGACCTAGTTTTACATTAGTACGAGAAATTACTTCGTTTTGACCTGGTTTTACATTAGTACGAGACATTACTTGTGTTTTACCTAGTTTTACATTAGTACGATACATTACTTGGTTTTGCCCTAGTTTTACATTATTACGAGACATTACTTGTGTGTGACCTAGTTTTACATTATTACGAGACATTACTTGGTTTTGACCTTGTTTTACATTAGAACGAGACATTACTTGTGTTTGACCTAGTTTTACCTTAGTACGAGACACTACTTGGTTTTGACCTAGTTTTACATTATTACGAGACATTCTTTGTGTTTGACCTAGTTTTACATTAGTACGAGACATTTCTTGTGTTTGACCTAGTTTTACATAAGTACGAGACATTACTTGGTTTTGACCTTGTTTTACATTAGAACGAGACATTACTTGTGTTTGACCTAGTTTTACCTTAGTACGAGACATTACTTGTGTTTGACCTAGTTTTACATTAGTACGATACATTACTTGGTTTTGACCTAGTTTTACATTATTACGAGACATTACTTGTGTGTGACCTAGTTTTACATTAGTACGAGACATTACTTGTGTTTGACCTAGTTTTACATAAGTACGAGACATTACTTGGTTTTGACCTAGTTTTACATTAGTACGAGAAATTACTTCGTTTTGACCTGGTTTTACATTAGTACGAGACATTACTTGTGTTTGACCTAGTTTTACATTAGTACTAGACATTACTTGGTTTTGACCTTGTTTTATATAAGTACGAGACATTGCTTGTGTTTGACCTAGTTTTACGTTGGGACATGACATTACTTTTGTGTGACCTTGTTTTACATTGGGACGTGACATTACTTTGGTTCGACCTAGTTTTACATTTGGACGTGACCTTACTTGTGTGTAACCTAGTTTTACATTGGGACGTGACATGACTTGTGTGTGACCTAATTATAAGTTGGGACGGGACATCCCTTGTATGTGACCTTGTTTTACAATGGGACGTCACGCTGTTTGTGTGTGGCCTAGTTTTACATCGGGACGTGACATTACTTGTGTGTGACCTAGTTTTACATCGGGACGTGACATTACCTGGTTTTGACCTAGTTTTACATGGTAACCTGACATTAGTTGAGTCTGAACTAGTTGAAATGAGAACGTGACGCTAACCCTTCCATGACATCTGTTCTTATTTTCCTTTTATATTTTCGAGGGTTACCATTCCTATTTATTCGTTTCTTATAATTTGCCCTAGTTTTATTGTTTTTGAGTTCAAGTTACGGGTTTATTGACACTTTACATTGTACTTGGTATTCTCCTTACTTGTTTATTTGAAGCTCCTTGAAAATACATTTTTAATGCAAAAGATGTTTTGATGTTTATCTAGAGTGATGACGGGTTAAACTATAACTTATAATTAAGCAGGAACATTGCTGAATCCATGTCGTACAATGAATGTTTTTGAGTTGCAATCTAACGCACACACACATCCCGAAACACCATTCCATTTAACAACTTGGAAAACAATATCAAGTGACTTTTATAGATCAAGGAATAACGATTTTTATTCAGTTCATTTGTTTAGTCCTTAGCACACATTGCGAACTGTAAATTAAACAGCTGAATATGACTGCACTCGTATATCGGCACCTTTATTAAAGGTCGATCATATAAATTCGTATTTACAGGTTCATATACGTATATACCTACGATTTTAAAATTCGCTTTCTTGTGTCATTTGAAAAGGTTTAAGCGATTGCTGTGCTAGTGTCAACATCCTTTACTTTCAGTCTTTGTTATGGTAACAATGGAAATATTGATTCATTTTATTTGTAAATAGAACACAGACCCATGGGATATTCGCATCAAAAGGTTAAATAAAGTACTCATTTGTGTCAGCATTCTAAAATAAAATCGAAAGTTAAAATCTATGCAAAAAATGAACACAATAGTACTTAGAACTAAGGAAAAGGGGAACAAACAAAACGATCTGAGCTTACACAGCATACCGGAGGAGTAATCAGAATAATACATATATAATATCTTATTAACTAGTTCGAGTTAATAAAATGAAATGAAAACGAGTGTAAAATCCTTTTTATCACATAATCCAGATTTGTGGCATATATTTGTGTAAAACGACAATTGTCATGCAACCTTGAAACGTAAAAAGCCGCCATTTTGACTCCAGTGCGTAAGTCTGTGACGTCATGAACTTGTACTAGGCGTGACGTCAAAATTGAAACTTACAACCAATCACAAGGCTGATAGGTAATATAGCATGGGTTAATACACAAAAAAATATGACAACGGTATATATTCACTGGATAACACAGTACATTATGTGATAAATACTCATGCATTTTAAAAATAAAATATTAAAGAGAAAGTTACAGTTTGTTTTTTGTATGTGACGCCCGAATGTGCCGTACTACAGTTTATATTACGGTATAAACCGTGAAAAGTAGGTCATGTATTATCGTAGATAAGGCAAGTTCATTTGCTTTAGACCTTTGGTTCAATGGTACACATAGCGTAATTTTTATCTCGTGTCAATAAATCTATACTAACACGTGTAATGTTTATGTAGGATATTTGAACAAAACGAGGGTAATTATATTAGGGGTCAAATTGTACGGAAGCTTCAGACAGCAGTAGTTCAAGTTTATTATTCTAAACTTAAGTAAATTTAATAACTGAAATTTGTATTTAAGTATCTAATCGCAGAGATACAACATATCGTATTAAGTCATTGTTCTGTTAACATATCGTATTACGTCATTGTTCTGTTGCGGGTTTATATGTAGTTATATGGTTTTACTTATATTACCGTAATAAAAAACACTTATACATATATTCATTGTATTCGTACAGTCTTAAGTAAATGTATATACACTACAGCACAGGAGAACAGTTCTTTAAGATTTATTTGTGTAGCAAGGTCGACCCATACTTACCTCTCAGCCAGTGTGCTAAAGTCTGCTCCATGCTGTTGGTCACCTGTTGTCACAAAACGGTCTGGGGCGAAGATTTACCTGGCCAATATTCAGCCTTTATTATGCACACAAACTTTTTTGAAAGGAATGTAATTATTGGTTTGACTGATCTTGAAGTTGACAGTTTCGAGTTGAAACAACGGTCAAGGTTTCGATTTATTGATGACATATGCCGTATAAAGAGTTATGAAGAGCTAATTTCAGGGTCCAAAACCAGACCGTATTCTGGAACATAGGTACCACGTGCACACATCCCTACACTCATAAATAGGTCTAGGTCAAAACCCAGCATGTTAAAATTCATCAGTCTTATGAACTCTAGCAATACATCTGAATTATGCAAATTTGGAAAGTTTCTGCACAAAGCATTTATGTTGAGAGAGAATCCGAAAACAAATTTAAATGTATGAACCAACAACAATGCGTTCTCCTTCAATACATTATTTTTTATTATTTTTTCTTTAACTAGTATATCATAATGATGTACATTCATTCACAATACATGTCACTTATTTGTTTACACATGCAAACTGACCATGGCAAGCATGTATTGTGTATGTATGGATTGTATTAATATCCTGTACCTATAAGTTGTAAACTTTTGGAAATAAAATGAACAATGAAAGTAAAAAGGTATGGATACAAATATGTTCCAGAACTCGAGCACCTGTGTCCAAAACTAGGAAATATTTGAGTCAGTATACACACAGTAACCATACATGAACATACCGCTATTTATATACCAGATAAGTTCGGCCTGAACGAGGTCACGCTATTTGTACTTTTAAAAATGACCGAAAACGGTCTCGGAATCGAATGCACGACAAGACCAACCTGTCGAAATAGCGTTTGGGATCATATGTTTATGTCATATTACATAATGTAATCTGACGCATGGTCTAGTTCTGTTTCACCTGCATTTAACACAATGGCCTGTTTGTATATTGTACTTTGAAGGTTATTTACCAACTATTTCGAAATGTATTAAAATGTATTGGTACATCACTAGATATTTCGAAATAGCTAACAAAACATCAACAATCCAAGTTTGTAAACACGAGTGGGAAGTATTTTGCAATGTTAAGATATACGGAACAACGGAGGGACCAGAAGAAATCTCCAGTGTGTATATTACTTCGGCGTATATCAGAAAATTCCGTCATATCTTGCATATTCGTCTGTCGCTGTGTAGGAAGTCTTCAACTGTTGTGAAATGTAGAAAATCATAATCTTTTAATTTTGCGTCTTTTAATCGTGAATGTGTTAATAGATCTACGATGAATAAAAAATATGTGGCATAAAAGTAAAGAGATAAAAACAAGTTAGAATGGACACGAAATTAAAGTGATAAAAAGATAGGAGGAACACAAAAGTAAAGGGATAACAAATTAAAGAGAGGCAAAAGTAATAAATGAAAATTGATAATACGTAGAAAGGACACAATAGTAAATCAGAAATAAAAATATTAAAGGTATGGAAAATATTGTTTCGAATTATAAATAAAGATAACGTCGATACCAGATAACTGTTTGCATTGCCAATTTATGTAATTGAAGGTTTAAAAGTTCACCGCCTTTTAAGGCTACTGGCTTAATGTGCTATAATTGCACTGGTGAACACGAGACTGTGATATAGTAGTACGTATTGGTGAACACGAGACTGAAATAGTACGTATTGCCTTCCGTACAGGCACTCCGCGTTCCAGTTAATTACTGACACAGCGCCCGCTTTGTTGCGTGACGTATTTTCTATAAGGGTAGCTGCGCAGTGTACGACAGTCACAATCGATTTCGAATCGGACTGAGTGAACGACGACTTGACACACTATTTACCAAAATGTATTGCTCTAAGCCTAGTGATCAGGAAACCGGTGAGTATATACTCTCCTCTGTACAATATACATGTAATATGTTATGTAAATCGCTAAAACTGACCATAAAGGCGCCTGGCTGCCAAAAACCAGTTATTCGTGTGTTTACACAGGTGACCAGGCAAGCCTGACGGAGCTTATAGTTATGGTCAGTTTTCGTGGTTTAATATGAAAGTGGGAAAACCTATTCCAGATAGGTGAATCTGCCATAATTACAGCAATGAACACCCTAAGTCTGGTCAAGTGTGTCCAATTTCATACAAAATTGATAAAACGTGATAAGCTATGAGATTTCATTATCTGGGTTTTAGCTTCACAAACACGAGACTGTTTACAGAGCCGGAGCCATAGGCACTGACGATCACATTGAATGACCAGTCGGTTCAGATAGAGATGTACAGTATTATAAATTGTACATCCTCGATACCCCAAGGTTTGCGATCTTTTTCACGAGAGAGCGTAACCCCTGGAGTATCGAGGCTGTAGACTGTGTGGACGGTTGCTATTACTACTGATTTCATAAGAAAATAACTATATCGTGTATTTCATCACAGACTTCGATAACAGACTTAGATAATTATATATAACAATATAATTCGGTGATTTCATAGAGATCATTAATCAAGATATATTTCCTTATGTGTATGATATACTGTAGAAAAAACAGAATTTATATAGAAAAATAATAGAGTAGTATGTTGGCTTGAGATAGACTGACGTTATATTTTGTGTTTACTACTCTGTAACATTGTGGTACACAGGTGTCCGTATGTCAAGAGTCGAAAGTCTACATGTAACGTGATAACATTAGCACTGTAGTGCTATTCTTGCGACAAAACATATATAAAATTTAACAAGGATCACAGTACTTATGAATATATATATATATATGTATAGAAAAAACAAAATTAACGACCGACTAAAAAACTAGCTGCTTTCACCCTTCACAGGGCTCTTCAGGTTTATTCAAAAGAGAACAACGTCGTGACGTCACAATTACATATCATCACACTACAATAGTAACGTGACGTCACGAAGTACACAAGATTGGTGGACAATTTGGCGTAAAATTTTATTGTGGCCTGTTGAGACTCGGTTTTAATATTTTTATTAGTTGGTCTTCTTTCGTTTCTCTTAAAATAGTGTCTGATGAAAATAGTTGATACAAAGGTAATACATTAAATTTATCTCCAGCACATTCATGAATATGTTTGTTAACATGAAGATTTCGTAAAGAATCAGTTCTAGTTTGTTGTCTATGTACAGTCATACGTGTTCTGAGTTCATTACCGGTTTGACCGATGTAAAAATCACCACATTTAGAACAAACGATTGCATAAATTACATTTTTTGATTTACAATTCATATTTACCTTCACAGTAAATTTCAAACCATTCTTGAAAATAAAAGTATTACACTCGATAATCATAGGACATGTAGCACATCTTGGTGTCTTACATTTGGATACTTTTGGTGTTACACAAGAATTATCAAACTTAGAACATGTCAACATACGTTTCAAGTTTTTAGGTTGGCGTCTACAGTGTAAAATAGCATGTTTATTAAAAATGTTTCTCATACGCCTGCTACTTTGCTTTAACTCTTCACATTTGTTCTTTATCACAGGAAACATATTACAATTCCGTGGATTGAAAGTAGAAACAAAAGGAACTAACTTTGATTCATCCTTTAGTTTTTGTAGACGGGAAGTAAAGGGTCCCTTTTCAATAGCTTTCTGTATACCATGTTCTATTATCTCAGTAGGATAACATTGAGCTTTAAGGTATTGCTTTAGTTGACTTAGTCTAGCAATTTGAGCTTGTTGGTCACTGACGATAGTGACAATCCGTGAGGCAAGATTAAATGGAATATTAACTTTAGTGTGTTTACTGTGGTTAGAGTAAAAATTTAGATAATTATGTGCATCTGTAGCTTTACAATATAAATCCGTTGTAATCTTATTTGAATCTAGTTGAACTAAAACATCTAAGAAAGGTAAAGACGTTTCGCTACACTCCATCGTATAACAAATAGAAGGATGTAAAGAATTCAATAGGTTTTGAAATTCATTTAAATCCTTATCAGAAGGCCATATAACAAAACAATCGTCAAGGAACCTTAAAAAATTATTTCTGATAAATTCAGTAAAGTTTTCCCCAAACTTTGTCTCAATCTTAGAATAAAGTGTTTCCTCTAAGTATCCTAAAACTAAGGTTGCATATGTAGGGGCAACTTTAGTTCCCATCGCTGTACCCTTAATCTGTTGAAAGTATTCTTGCTCAAAATAAAAAGAATTACGATTGAGGACAATGTCTAGAGCTTGCAGTATAAATTCATTACTAAAACGAGAATTAACTTTTTCTCGTTTTTTGATCAACCAATATTTAACAGCTTCAATACCAAGATCATGCGGTATATTAGTGTATAAACTAACAACATCAAAAGAAACAAGTTTAGCATTATGTGGGACCTGTTTAGATAAACGGCTCAGAAAATCAAAATCATCTTTGATATAACTGTTTACACTTGTGCATAAAGGTTTAAGAATGAGGTCTACAAGATGACTCAAACGTTGCGTTGCACTATTAGGGCCGCCTACTATGGGTCTAAACTTCAAATCCGTAGGATTTTCAACTTCAATATATGTACAGTTTTGTTCTTCTATAGCTTTACTTATAATAGAGCTTTTGTGGATTTTAGGCAAACCATAGAAATAACTAGTTTTATGCATAAAATTGACAAGATAATCTATCTCCTTTTCATGTAGGCATGCTTCATGTGTCCGTGTTAGCTCGTTGATTAATCTACGGGTTTCCGCATCGAAATCGTCACTTGCCACTATATATATGTATATATATATAAAGAAAAAATAAAATTAACGACCGACTAAAAAACATTAATTTTAATTTTATTTTAAATTTTATTTTATTTTATTTTTTCTTTATTTACTTCCTTCACATGGACATTTAATCACTTTTTATTATATATATATATATATATATATACAAGACAACAATTCAATTTAGATATGCTACAAATATACAGTAGAACATATGAAATCACCGTTTATGCAAAACAAAAATTTAGAAATTTTTAAATTAATAGTTAACGCTTGAATGTCACACAAGTGTTACAAAAGACAAGTTAAGACACTATCATAGTGTAATGTACATACAATATATATGCTAATGTAGCAAAGTGTAAACATTTACAGTATATACACTAATATAGTGTGAATTAAAAAGAGACAATGAAGTCATAGATTGAAACAGAGAGCTATAATTATGATATTCTAAAAAGTAATGATCTTTTAAATAATGGAGCTCAAGTCTAAAATAGTTATCAAATATATAATAAGTTTAGTACTGAAGTATATCAGCAAATTAAATAACAAAATCAACAGTGAAGTTAAATAGTTGTAGTAGAAAACATGTAGGTAGATTCCAAAGGGGGACAACTCACACTATACGATGTGTGTAGATAGCACATAGCAGACCTTATTGTCCCAGGTGCGAAGCAGCCCACGAAATCACTTATAGTTAAATATATTACAACTTATATGTTAATTATTGAACATTGTAAACGACAATCTAATCCGCTATATTTACAATAGCTTATCAAATATTAAAAAATAAACTTTGAACACAAATATGGTTAAAGGATTAATTTAAAGCAGCTGCTTTTTCTGAGGGAGCCTGTAGATTAGGCCATAACCAGACTCAAGCAATAGTACTGAAACAACAACCTCATTTCAAATTACCATGGTGATATCTTCTGCCTCCTTCTCTACTGTATCGCCATACATCCTATTGTGGGCTAGAAGATATACAGAAACATGTGAAATGGATGTTCTCCTGTAATAGATAAGATGAACACCCTCCAGCACAGTGGCTATGGGAGCCTTGTTTCTACAAGAAAGAATATAGGCCAATAAATGCAACATATCATATATTCTATATGATCTAGTTATGTAAGGTCTTTAGTTCATCTGAACCGATGAAAACATATGATGACAATATATGACAACTTCAGACAACCGCTTCTAAACTTTCAAAAATAAGCCATTGACGTTAACCTGTAATTGAAAATATATATTCGAATTTGATGAGGAATATTTCGTAGGTTACAAGAAAGTGTGACAACTGTGTGGCATCTCTCCTGGGCTCACGTACAATATGTACACGTTGTTTCTGTAACGTTCTCCGCGTAAACATAGATACGGTTACATAAAGACTAGGCGTTTAAGAGGTAGGGTAAATCTGATTTTGTATTTTTATGGAGCAATTGTTTGTTGACATACTGGCAGGCCATCTTCGAAATTCAAGGGGTTTCACCCACTTAAGTCTTCCTCACGTGACCGTTACCCCTGGAATTTTGCGGTTGACTGTAAGGCGTAATTCTGACGTGCATTAGGATAGCAGAACCACATATAGTGAACAGATTGACTCAATAATCGTGATAATTATATACGACCATCTATACTTCATTGGGTCTGTGTATTCGGTAACTTTTCATTGGTCAATCTCCGTATGGTCGAGAGTTACCAACTGCTCCAATAACCCATTGGTCAATCTCCGTATGGTCGAGAGTTACCAACTGCTCCAATAACCCATTGGTCAATCTCCGTATGGTCGAGAGTTACCAATTCACTGCTCCAATAACTCACGGTGCGCTAGACCAGGGATATACTGTCCCTGGGGGAAGCAAAGCTGATTTATGAATACCCATTTAAATCTCAAGGCGATAGTTGATGTGTGGGTATTTTTATACCTGTTATGTATAATTCAATTACATAATACACGACTCTATTTGAATTTAACAATAGTTATTGTCCAAATGGATACAGGGGATTGGGCACAAGTTATTGTCCAAATGGATACATAGGATTAGGCAAAAGTTATTGTCCAAATGGATACAGAGGATTAGGCACAAGTTAATGTCCAAAGGGATACAGAGGATTAGGCACAAGTTATTGTCCAAAGGGATACAGGGGATTAGGCAACAGTTATTGTCCAAATGGATACAGGTGATTAGGCACAAGTTATTGTCCAAATGGATACAGGGGATTAGGCACAAGTTAGGGTCCAAAGGGATACAGGGGATTAGGCACAAGTTAATGTCCAAAGGGATACAGAGGATTAGGCACAAGTTATTGTCCAAAGGGATACAGGGGATTAGACAACAGTTATTGTCCAAATGGATATAGGTGATTAGGCACAAGTTATTGTCCAAATGGAGACAGGGGATTAGGCACAAGTTAGTGTCCAAAGGGATACAGGGGATTTGGCACAAGTTAGTGTCCAAAGGGATACAGGGGATTTGGCACAAGTTATTGTTCAAACGGATACAGGGGATTAGGCACAAGTTAGTGTCCAAAGGGATCCAGGGGATTAGGCACAAGTTATTGTCTAAAGGGATACAGGGGATTAGGCACAAGTTAGTGTCCAAATGGATACAGGGGATTAGGGACAATTTATTGTCCAAAGGGATACATAGGATTAGGCAAAAGTTATTGTCCAAAGGGATACAGGGGATTAGACAACAGTTATTGTCCAAATGGATATAGGTGATTAGGCACAAGTTATTGTCCAAATGGATACAGGGGATTAGGCAAAAGTTAGTGTCCAAAGGGATACAGGGGATTAGGCACAAGTTAGTGTCCAAATGGATACAGGGGATTAGGCACAAGCTAGTGTCCAAAGGGATACAGGGGATTAGGCACAAGTTAGTGTCCAAATGGATACAGGGGATTAGGGACAATTTATTGTCCAAAGGGATACATAGGATTAGGCAAAAGTTATTGTCCAAAGGGATCCAGGGGATTAGGCACAAGTTAGTGTCCAAATGGATACAGGGGATTAGGCACAAGTTAGTGTCCAAAGGGATCCAGGGGATTAGGCACAAGTTAGTGTCCAAATGGATACAGGGGATTAGGGACAATTTATTGTCCAAAGGGATACATAGGATTAGGCAAAAGTTATTGTCCAAAGGTATACAGGGGATTAGGCAAAAGTTATTGTCCAAATGGATACAGGGGATTAGGCAAAAGTTAGTGTCCAAAGGGATACAGGGGATTAGGCACAAGTTAGTGTCCAAATGGATACAGGGGATTAGGGACAATTTATTGTCCAAAGGGATACATAGGATTAGGCAAAAGTTATTGTCCAAAGGGATACAGGGGATTAGACAACAGTTATTGTCCAAATGGATATAGGTGATTAGGCACAAGTTATTGTCCAAATGGAGACAGGGGATTAGGCACAAGTTAGTGTCCAAATGGATACAGGGGATTAGGCACAATTTATTGTCCAAAGGGATACATAGGATTAGGCAAAAGTTATTGTCCAAAGGGATACAGGGGATTAGGCACAAGTTAGTGTCCAAATGGATACAGGGGATTAGGCACAATTTATTGTCCAAAGGGATACAGGGGATTAGGCACAGGTTATTGTCCAAAGGGATACAGGGGATTTGGCACAAGTTATTGTCCAAAGGGATACAGAGGATTAGGCACAAGTTATTGTCCAAATTGTTACAGGGGATTTGGCACAAGTTATAGCAACTTATGAAGCCATTCCCTATCAACATTTCAATAAAAATTGATTACATAGACACACAATTACAAATAATACAAGTAATGGTAGAAAGTCAAGAACTACATATGTATATACATTTTATATTCTAAATCTTTCGCTGGACCTAATAAAAGTGTGCACATGTCTAAATAAATTTCAATTTTCATTGAAAGCTAGGTTTTCATCACCAAATAGTAGTTACCTCAAACTTAGTTGCATATTTATATTGTTAATGTATTCGAACAGTACACGTCTCTAAATTGGATGGCTACTGTGTTCTGAAATGGAATCGATTTCTGAGTCATGCTAACGTCAGTACTTGACAATACGAATGTCGAATGTCTCTTCTGTAATTTTCGTATCCAAACATCGTTTATCATTGTTTCTCTTGACTTTTTTCAGGTATGTCGTATCAGATACGAATCGACAAACTGAAGCTGCCGCTGTATGTTGGCTACGTGCTATTACCAGCCAGTATCATTAACGTTATACTCGGTATCGTTGTGCTGGTATTTTTGAACAACTACTCGTACCCGCTACCGAGTGGCTACCAGATATGGACAGGCATACTAGTAAGTACATATCAACACCTATTATATTTAGCGGATACGTAAGGAACAAGTTCCCGGGCTAATAGACTGTATGAGATAGCGCACTGACTTAACGTATTGAGTCTAACATCCGCAATTATATTGACCATTTCCTAAGGTTCAACGTCACTGCTGTACTATGGGGCTAATGTTGTGTAAATGAAATATGTCAATTCCTAAAAAATAACTACACCCACGTATCGTCATATCGCAGTGAAGCCAGTCTCGAATATTGAATACCACTTGTGTATAAAGACCATCTGTTTATAACGACCATCCGTCTATGGTGATAATAGTGCATGTACATTCTTTGCCTTAAATCTTATGATAAAAAAATCATGACCTGCTTTTTTTCTTTCTTCAGGGAATCGTGATTTCAGTGTTCGGCATACAGGTTGGAACGACATCGAACGATATGAGACAAGATATGACCCCAGACTTCAGAAAGAATGTACGTTAACCGTCTAACTCTCATCTCGCTCACAGTTTGTAAGAGACTCTAACACTTCCCACTGCAATATCAAATAGGAAAGAAACAAGTATCTGAGTTCATATGGTTGTCTTTTTCTTTGAATTGTAGCCGTCTCAATGTTTAAGATATTACTGCTTTCAACGATACGTTTTTGGAATATAATGTCGCTCTATTCATTTATGGATGTCAAACGATTCTGGTACATCAAAAATAATATTCAAAAGACATTTCTTATATAGTACGAATTCTTTATAATAACATTAAGATACAAAGGATGTTGGGATGAAAAGTGTAGTGGCCCGCCATTTTATATTTCAATGTTCCTGGGACAAGTCATTGCATCATCTGTTACATTTGTACTAGTATATCTTGAATATCACGCCTGTTTCACCGGTTGCCTCTTTTCTAATATTTCGACCATTACGTTTTTGTTTTGATATGGTGGTACAGTAATTAATCCGTGCCTCGTAAAACTGAAACATAGAATTGTAAAATGTTTGAGATCTTTGTTACAGACAAGTACATTGTAGCTTGTTTTTTGGAATTGACAGGAACACTCTTATGTCTAATCTATTAATGTTTCTTTTTCAGTTTTTTGCATTCTTCTGGTCATGTAACTGTGTCAACTGGGTTGCCACTCAAGGGTTCGGAATCGCTATCGCCTGTACGGTCATCTGTGCAGTGAACGGCTGCTCGGAGAAAAACGATCTTCTCATCGCGTTAAATGCCATCTCCATAGGTCTGACATTTATCATATGTTTCGGGGGCTGGGTCGGGCAGTTCTACTTCTATAAGTTTAGGAAGACGTACGGAATTCTCTATGACAAGGAAATAAGGCAACTTGCCAGCATCGCCAAATAATGCTTACGATAGATATTACAGAGCCAACCGACAGAGAAATACCATGATGACATGTGATGGTCCGATCTGTTAGTTATACTGTCCTGTTAGCTGTACTTCATTACAGTGTTAAGTCTGGAATCTAGACAATACCACTTAGGAACGATACGTTAATGCCAGTAGACTTGATTTGAAACGGACTTGGAAGTGGCAGGTATTTTCCTACAATCTAATAACACTCATCAACCAGGAACAACCAACCTCCCAGTCAATCTCAACAACACGGGGTAGACAACGCGGACATCGTTCGCTATCTTTGTTCACTTATCATTACCATCCGGGTACCTAACGGGCGGGAGCAAGTAGAAGCCGATTTCGTTGTAGGAACATTGTAAACGTCCAATGAAACAGATTATTATCTAAATCTGATTTGTACACGTGACAGGTAAACGTGTGCATTAAGTGCTGTAGTGAACAAAGATAGCGTAGCTGTGTTTAGCATGAGTGATATACATGCTATAAATAGTTACACATTGTATTAATATATTAGCAGGAGTGATATACATGTTATAAATAGTTACTCATTGTTTAATGAATTGCGACCTATATAGTCGATTGATATTTTTCTTTCTAAAAATGTCCGTGTCATTTTTTTCCATTCATCATTAAACTTCATTATATAATCCGCATTTTGAACGAACGAACGTTTGGGTGCTATAATACGGTAAGTCTAAAGGTAAATGTGTCGGCATTGATTGATGAGCTGTTCATTTCTATCAACAACAAATATTGCTTGATTTAACTATTTTTAAATAGACCTATTTATCTGTTTTTATAAAAAGTTATAATTTCGTTGTTGAAAGAGGACGACATTAGCAATGCATCAATACACATTATAGAAATACTCTTTCATGTTGTTGCTACATGTATGTTATTTTTTAAAGATTTCTGGAAAACAATTAGGAAAAATGTTGTTTTATCATTTATTGTTATAGCAAGTTCTTTTATCTGATATTCTCTACTTTACATGTTAACTACCTCCATGGCGGAAATAAATGTTTCCAACATTATCACTGACAAATACATAAAGATTTTTTTACCCAGTTGTATATATTTCATATAATGTCATTCCCTAAAATGTAAAAAGGATACGAATACTGTATTAAACCTATGAATACAACATATGTACAATTTATTTCAGACAATTTCAAGGTTTCAATAAGAGCGCGATATGTATTATTAATTCCTCTACCTAAAATGCTGTTTTGTCTTATTTCATCTCCTGTGTGATGTGTTTTTTTAATTCCCCTACCTAAATGTTGTTTTGTCTTATTTCATATCATGTCATTTACTAGAAGCAACCTAATATTTACATGAATGTTTTTGTTTGAAAAGTGAGGATTTGAATTTGTAAAAAGATAAATACTTTCTTGTTGAAACTGGGACAATAGTAATGATTTAAGGATATTCTATAAGCTTCGCGCTATTTGAATCTTGCTTATTGTTTCCTTATCTAATAAGTATGTTGGTGATCGGTATATGAGTAAACCATGACGACAGCCCCTCTCGATTTTAATGAAAAATGTGAGAGGTTACTACATTAATGTATTTAATTTTAAAAACTGAAAAATTAACCAAATTTTTCCTAACACAGACAGCATTTCGGAAACTGTGTCAACATAGTATTATATTTAAGGTAAATGTTAACATAGATACAGAATACAGAAAACGTTTTAATTAGCAGTAGTCCGCTTTAATTCATTTTAATTGTTAGTACATTGATACGCAACGATGTTCAATTGAAGTTGTTTTGTAAGATTTTGTAGTCAAGATTTTATGTCACTATAAACGACTCTTACACATGTCTATTACAAAATAAAATAAATCACACAAATTTAAGTTGTGGATTTAATTATTTTTTGAGAATTAAAGTGGTCTCGCAAAACAGTTTATTGATGATATCATTATTAAAGATAAACATAAATCGTGATCATCGCTCTCAGTTCGGCTGTGATGTGAACACCAGAAAACAAATAGCATGATGCATGCATTGCTTTGATTCATCTGAGTATACAACTCCCTGTCAAACGAATATAATCACAGTTTTGAAGTGGGTGGTGGTCCAGTTTTATTTGTATACAGTTTAAATAAACCTTTCGGAAGATCATCCGACCATCGTGAGTGCACAATCATTTTAGCAGCAACACGTCCTATTTCGTCACTTGACTTTGCTGCCCATCCATTGTCACCCATGACAACGCCTAACGTCGGAGTTACAAGGTCAACGTATGGTTGATAACTAGGTGTGACCATAGTTACACAAGCATCACCATGATGACTAAGGAATTTTACATCTGGAAAGAAAACAGACAAAACACTGTATATCCGTCTAAAACAGAAGATCAGATGATTAGGCGTTACTTAATTAATGCATACGTTTTCTGAAGAGATATACCTTAGTGTATCTGTGCAATGCATGTTACAATATTACACTTTGATCAGCAAACTATTTAGCTGAATTTCAATTTTATTAAATGTTAGTGTCAAAGGACAAATGGATTGGGCAGCAGGCATAGCCTATTTAAGCCCTTTCCAAACATAGTAACAGACAGTGGTACAAGCATAGACATATACAATAGAACACATACAATAACATAACTAATCAAAGTAAGGGAAACAACTATTAAATCCTATTTTTAGTTTATTTGAATCTAATGGTTTAGAAAACTTTCACTTTGGTACCAAAAAGATACATAAAATATATGCATTAATCAAGAAAAAAGAAAAGGAATTGGTTTATGGAGCTCCCCCTGTATAAACATTTTGATGGGATTAAATTACCTCACCCAACAGATACAGGCCAAAAGGTCCATTGTATCACACAAGGCCATCCACTGATAAGTTTGGGAATTCAATCTCACCAAATAGTTTAATTTATGCATATTAAACACAGGTTCGATATATAACTAACATGTTGTAAAGATTTATATATTTATTTATGTAGTTGTTTCCGAATATTTCTAGCAAAATAATATATTTCAAGAGACCAATTGAATGTGTGTACCTGGTAAAAGGCCTTGTAGAAGTCTAAACATCTGTTCTTCCAATACCTTGTCACCTTCCCCACAGTACCATTTCTGTATTTGAGACACTTGCAAAGGACCTTTTAATATAGCATCGTGGTGACCGATCTTAATGTAGTATTTACCTGCAACACAACACACGCATCTATATATATTGCGATTTACAGAAGACGAACATGGAAGGAAATTTCAAATTAAAACAACACATTTAAAACGATTAAATGTAACACATTAAAAAACAACTGCTGCTGTCTTTCTTACCGTCCGGGTACCTTACGGGCGGGAGCAAGTAGAAGCCGATTTCGTTGTAGGAATTTCTGGGATAATCTTTTGGCCAGGATGGTCCTCCTGTACCTCTATACATAACATTCGGCATATTCCTACAACAGTAGGTATCGGCATAGAGGATCAACCCAAAATAATGAGATTTTGTTTCTACACTGTTACTGTTAAAGTAAATAAACGGCAAATGAGTAATAAGTAAACGAACTATTTAAAACACCAACAAAAACAATAATTGAAAACTTATTTTTGCGGACTTTCGGAAGCGTCTGTTGCCTTTGTCAAGCAAAGAGTGCAACATACGTTTTCAAAAGCTAGCAAATTTAAATCAAACTTAGTATCAATTATTGATACCACGCTGATGAATCTCATTCCGAAAACTCAGCAGTCTGTTTAACAGTGTATCCTCTGGTACGATTTATCTTTAATAATAAACATAATCCAAATCTAGTTTAAAACCATATTGCTACGCATTGCACATCTGAATGCTTTGCACATATTTTATTATAGCTCATGTTAACGTTAGATATACCACAAAGTTTAGACAAAGTTAATCTGTAAACCATATGTCAAAATATCTTTAAATTGAAATTTCCATTGAATACAAAATATGTATTCAAGTAATATAAAATCATCACCATCAGTTTTAGTTTAATTATTTAAATGAGAGTTGGCAAACGGAATATATTCCCGTACGACAAGATAATTAAATCTTATTAAGTTACAAGCTGTAGTCGACCCTGGTCACAATGACAAGTTGTGTTGATCCAAATAAATATCTGTGTGTAAAATCAAATAACGGGAGATAAGAAATGTGTATATATGTATACATAATCACTTTTCTTTGACGACTGATTGAATGGGTAGTGTCTAACCTATTCAGAGGAGCGGCTCGAAAAGACATCCCATCCACGCGATCGTTTTGGGAGTGAAGAACTATTCACAAATGACTTTAATTTAGTGTCACTTTACCTCAATCGTACAGCATCGACCGATGAAATTTCAGCCAGGGAAACTGTCTGTGGCATGGGCACGTACAGCGGCCTCACGTTACCGAGGAGGTTATGTATCTCCGTAAAAACATTGGTCGCCAGGAGCACTTTGCGAGCAATCATCAACCTCCCATTTCCCATTACAACACGGCTATTTCCGTCCGGCTGTTGAACTATTCCGGTAACCGTCTCTCGTATTACGTCACATCCGTTTTTGGAAGCAACACTTATTTGTGCCATTACCATCTTTCTCGGGTTTATTATCCCCGCTTCATTTTCCTCCATAAGACCTTGGTCTTCAGATGAAAAGTTGAAGAAAGGAAATTTGCTCTTTAGCTGTTTACTGTCCAGAACCTCGAAGTTAGACATAACTCCCTGACCTCTGGCATGGTTTATCACTCTCCTGACGTAGTCGGAGTTTCTGGTTCCGACTGTTAGGGATCCTACTCTGTCGTAGAAATGCACACCTGTTGTTTGAAATAGTAGACCATAGTAAAGAGGATATCCAAACGGAATCTTTTGACATCTCTTTAAGCGACGAATGACCTTCAATATCTAATAATAATCAACTAATGGAGAGGAACATTTATTAAAATATAAGTGATAAAATCCTAAGTGGTTGTGAGAAAATATATGACATTATTTGTAAACAACAACCTTTCATTTTATCTGTACATACATACTAGTAATAGGTCATTTGAATACAACATTATGTAGGTCCGTGCATCAGGTTACAATACGCTATCTATACTTTTTCGATGATAGAAGGTAATGTGTTGTAAATAACTACCTGACATCATCTCCAGGTCTCTGTATCTAGACATAGATCTCTGTGCGAGGATACCCCAAACTGGACGCGTGGTTGATTTCGCTGACGTTATCCTAGCTTCATCATAATGCGCGCCAAAAACTTCCTTACCAGTGGTAACTTGTCGTACCTATTCATAGAAAAGTATTCATTCTTAATATTAATTTCTGTGTTGACATGACTACTAAAAGTAGATAAAACAGAATTTCCACGACAAAAAACTTTTTGAAAATTACAACACTTTTATGCTAACGTTAGATAATGTTGAAGTTAATGTGCAGCCTATCCTAGATCATTACCCGGAACTTTTCTCTCTAATTGGAGCAATTTATAATTTACCCAAGTACAATCTGAAATCATCGAACGCCATTTCAATCATGTATATGTATTGAAAGATAAACATCTCGGAAGAGTATTGAGGGGGACGGGATAGGGGTATGCACCGACACCACCTCCAGATAGTGTATGGCATATCAGCGCGGCCGTACTATACGGTATCTAGGTCAATATTTAAACTACAGGGCAGTACGTCATTACGACACGCTGAGGCCCTTTAGCTATCTGACCCGCCAGGCTGTGTGTATACTTTGGTGTATATAAAATATCATTGATGTACTTCGTTGTCATAATCCATTTATAGACAAGTGTTTATATAACAAACCTGGGATGTTTATTATAGGCTCTGAACAAGCTAAGTTATAAATAGCGCTATAATCTGTCTAAAGATGGTTGGCTGTACACACAGGTAAAAGCACGCTTGCATCAGTGATTTTACAATAGTACACAAACCTGGGGTTCCGGTGGTCCGATCAGGCACACCCTGTAGTTAGGGGTGAGTGAGGCGTGGCGTGCGGCTGCTGCCCCCGTCATTCCTGCTCCCACTACACACAGGTCGTACACAAACGCCATGCTTGATCCAAAGTACCGTTACTATGTGATTTGTGCAATGGACTGGCATTGAACCAATAATTCGAGACGAGCGCGTGGACAAATTTGTATTGTCTTAAAGACCGAGCTTACCTGTAAATAGTGGACCTAACTAAAACATGGCAGATCATGTACAACTTTAAACTGCAGTAGATGTGTTTCACTTGCTCTACTTTTTTTGAAATTTTAAACTAAATAACCACATATTTTTAACAAATAAAATGGCAGGTGTGAAAATAAAAGTGTACTTATTTATCAAATCCTACTCTGAAGAAATGACTTTTCTTAATAACCAACATTTTAATTTGGTACTTTCGGGCTATTCCAATTTCAAATAGTGTGGGGAGTAACAGCTCCCAACTGACATTGACTGTCTATATTGTAAGGCTATCTGAGGTCACTGGCTCAGGTCACTGGTTGGCTCTTGTTGATAAACAACTTCAACTTAACATGCTCACTTATTTGTATTAGTTGCCTTTATTCCACTTAAATTCCTGTATTTTATTTCATAGTAGTCCATGAGTTGAGGTTTCAAAAAATACACAAAAAGTACTGATTAATTACTGCCCCATGAATGTCCAACATATTCCTCAGACGATATTTCAATACACAATTTGGCATTATATCTCTTTTATGCCAGGTAAAATGTTTTTTGTTGGATCAACTCCAAGTGCCCTCTGTTTTCTCAAAAAGTATCGTTGATCTGCCCATGCACCTCTATTACTCAAAAAATGGCCCAAAATCGTTTGTAGAGTTTATTTCGTAATTGTCTATTCCTGCTATATGGAAAAGCGTTCATTTCAGGCCACCACAGTTGTCTATTGGTCTCATCAACAACACATCTGTCACAAAAGCAATGTGGACACAAGTCAGAATTTGCGGCTAAATTTTCACAGGTTGTCCTTGTGTCACCAGAAGTGGTCCAGCTTCCTCACCATCTCTATCATTTCTTGTATCTGTATTTTGTATCACAGGTATGTGGTCATGCTGTGTTGCCCTTATTAAATCCCAGCCATGAACTGTAAATATAGCCCTTTTACTATTTCTTCTTCTTCTCTTGTCAACAAAAGACAAACAAGATGCCTTCTTTCATTGTCGGCCATATTACCTTGTACTGGATTGGAAAAATTAAGCGGGAGATGTGTCTGTGGGATTGGTCAAGATATCCCAAATAGCTGAAGGAAGCTGTTTTGGATGAGGTTAGGCCAAGGCATTTGATGTTGTGTTTACTGTGTATGTTTGTTTACTTCTTCATGAGATGTTATTTTTATTTTCTGTTGAATGTATTTATCAACAGGAGGTTTTATCCTCAGGTAACATTTCATATTATGTCATATTATGTAACTGTGTAAAATTAATTCCGGATGTGCTAGGAAAATATTAGGCAGGGAGATAATCCAATTAATCTCAGTATATAATGATCAACTACACCTATTTAGCCTTTCATTAGATAAATAGGGATAGTGTTCTACTACTTCTTGAACATTCTATTCATTTTGTAACAACCCATATACACATAATGGCTGACAGAAATGAAGACGATGGGCAGAGAAAAGTGAAAAAGGCAAATTATAATAGAAGGTATAGGGAATCTGGAGGACCAAAGAGGTTTACATTAGAGCTTACTGGAGATGATGAAGTGAGAGAAAGTGTGAAATCAAATCTTTCAAAGGTGAAAAACGTATTATCGGGGGCTATGGATAATGTCACAAATATAGAGGCAATCAACAGAGTGCTTGATTTCTTTTTGGAACGACACCAGGAAAGGACACGGTTGGAGAAAAAACTCCCGACAGACTGATGTTGTTTGTATGGGTATGAAACACGCAAAGTTTTGTTGGATGAAATAATTACAAAAGATGATGATTTATATGCTCAGCAACATGAAAAACTTGGAACGGAAAGGATATATCAACATTTTGAAGACCACGAACTGGGACCAGTTATAATATCAGCACACGCACATGATCGAAACCTTTCCATCAACAAGTACATTCGGGATAACCATGCCTCGAAAAATCAGAATGACACTTGGCATGCTGGTAAACAGGAGGAACAACTATTGAAAGGAGTACCATTTGGTCCACGGTACAAGCTTGGAATAACGTGGCACTCACAACTCTCTGACAAAGTGTCATTAATAAGAACTCATGTGCATTATTGCTTCAGAGAATGTGAGGGAACTGCTCAAAACTCAAAAAAGTTTGGACAATATTGTCCAGCATTATCAAAATGTGCACACTGGTTGCTCAGAAAAAAATCAAACTGTAGGACATACCCCAACCACCAGCCATCAAAAATGATCATCAAGGACCCAAAGGCTGAGCTACTTCTGCGTAACGCAATCCAGAAAAGTGCAATATACCAACACCCAGAAGACTACATCATGGCCATGGACACATCTATGTTAAGTCATTCAACAATGTTTTGAACCTGTTTCATGACAAACAAATTGCATTTGGGAATGAAGAATACATCTGGAGAAGTCCTTCACTGGAATGAAAATGTATATAGGCCCTACAGCAGTATTTGGAATCCACCAGAGGCTCAGCTTTCACCTAGCATTGATCCTACACACCACAAAGGCAAAGAAGTGTACAAGAAGAGAACAGTTATATACACATGGAAAATATGGAATACTCACATGAATTTTTTATTTGAAAATTTACCTCTGGATAATTAAACAACTTACTAAGTTCACAAAACACCAGTCAGAAAAAGTATAAGATTGTTTGGACGATATATTTACATATTGAAATTGATTAACACGGTGTACAAATGTATGACATTTTGTTTTACCTTTGGATAAAACCTTTTCAAAGGGCATTATTATTTTGTGACAGTTTATTGCTCTATGAACTCACTGGTTGGAAAGACGTTGCGTTTGCCATGTGCAATGTATATACACATTTCTAGATATTATGTAAAAAAAAACATGGGATTTTTCGGTATATACTCCAATACTTCTCATTTCTGGATTTTTTATTCTTCTTTCTATTTCAATATATATGCATAGATATTTTCGTTTCTCAATCTTTTCCTTTTCTTTTTATGATTTCAATATACATTTAAATGCACAGTACAATAAATAGTACTGGTATTGCAGTTATAATGCTACATGTGCGTCAGAACATGAAATCAACGCTTGACAGTACATGTACGGCACTACCCAGTGAAGTAAAAACAGAAGTAATTAATAATTTACCATTTTGTCTTCAGACCTGTACATTTTAAATGTCAATAATTAATAAAGCATTTTCACTGCACGGACCCACATACTTTAGGTCTATAGATCCGTGTAATCTTATGAATGGCAGGCCTGTCAAATATTTTGATCCCGCCTGACAGTTATGCTATTTTTGTTAATTCATGATAAAATACGGGGAGGTTGTTGGAACAGCATGCGTGCGCACTATTTCACGTGCATTGTTATTGGCATTGGTTATTGGCACGCGCATGGTATATCGCTCAATAATGCACTCTTCTTTTACCAATGAAAACCGTCGTTACATCACAGACGTGGTAGAATGTGTTCTATTATATTTGTTGTTAGATGATCCGAGTCGAGAAATCATCAATTACATTAGGTTAATGTAACTTATATGCGGAATAACTTTATAAATGTACAAGTTACACAGGTAGCAGCTGTCTACGTAAAGGGTATTTGAACAAAGCCAGTGATATCTCCGTGTCACCCGACTCGTCATCAGGTCGTATTACTGTTTTAAAGTTTTGTAAGCTTAACATCTACACCTACTGATCCACAAACTTAAATTATATGTGCTCTCAGTAGTTTACATATCTTCTCTATTAAGACATATTCAAAACAAATTTTACAGGGAATTTTACACAAAGCCGTTCTGTGCCTGCAATGTGGCTTGAAAGATAATCACTGTCACGATCCAAACTAACAACTTGAGAGTTTCGGGCACCTGTCGTTGTTCATTGTCCATGTCCCAGTGCAGCCGAGATTACCAAATACCAGTGCGCCTATATAAAGATAACTTGGGCGACTTCAGTATTGTAAATGTTGTAGTATGTCTCTTTCAGTACGCTCATCTTTGGCGCCAATTACTGGTACAGTTGCTGAAAATGGTAGGACATTTCGGATTCTTCATCTATGTGTCACGATGTACTTCATTGTGTATTGAATACACTGCGTAAGATGGATTGTAACACTGGTTTTATATGTCAGGAGAAAATCCACAGTATATGTAAACGATATCAAATGATACAATAATAATGATGAAGTATATATTAAGATCATACATCATTGGAATAGTTTCGTTTCATAGTAGGTAACTGTGTTGAAATGCAGTTCAAATTCAAATTCAGCAGATGACTTTTGTGTAATTCAATACATAAAAGGTGGTACAAAGGTCCACTGTCGAGCAACGTAAAACTTGGCTTTACACGAAGGTGTTGTGTTAATAGCGTTTATGCGCAGTATGCTCCTAATAATCGATTTTGAAGGAGTCTTTACTAGAAAATCACAGATGTGTTAATAGTTTAAGGTAGGCGGACCTATTAAGTACATTGTGAAGATAATCAATTGAATTTTACCTTTTGAAATAGTTCTTTAGAAAGCTATACTTTGAAAAACAAAAAGTGTCATATGAAATCTAAAATTAGAATATTACACCTGTATTAAATCGGAACTCCTCGAGACGTTTGATAAGAACTACAGCTACGCGCCGATGTATTCCGCATTGCCAAGTGTAGAAGATACCTGTAGTGTATGTGTGACGGCACCTGGCCTTTGTTATCAGACATACTCACATATACAGTGTTGAACCTTGCAGCACATGATTTACAATGTGCCACAAGTGAATGGTATTTGTTTATGTAGATAATTCAGTCGCGTAGCTTGACCGTTAAATGTGCATACAAAGGTGAACAAGAATATAAATAAAAAAACACACTGTGGCGCCATCTGGTGGTTATTAATTTAATCTATACTTAAGCTTTTTCTTCTTCATTGTTGCTTCAAATATTTTACTTTACAATTTCATGGTTATTTGGACCACATACACAATAAATTCTAATAAACAGCTAGTGCATTTGTGGATTTGTGGGCATGCAACAGCTAATATCCTTTTAAACGTCATTATGATATTGTATGTATGTACTAAGTTACTTGTCTTTTGTTTCGTTAAACTTCGTATATTTTGTTCTGTATTAAATGTTAATGTTTGATCCAGTTAATTGTTCTATTAATGCCATCACGTGAAGATTGGTCATTGGTCGCCCATGTCATCACACAGGCGCGCGAGCTACATCTGTTTTCCTCCATCCCGAAGTTATTGTAGGTGTCAGCAGTGTTTAAGAGGGATGTGTGGTCGGATCGTGCAGTGGAAAGCACATTTGCCTTTCACAAAAAGGGTTCGATTCCCTGAACGAACGTGAAATAGTATTGGGCTCCTGCCCGACAACGTGGGTTTTCTCCGGGTACTCCGGTTTCCTCCCGCAGTACATTTTGTAAGACCCATTTACATTTTTGTTCGAGGTTGAAACCATTGATTAATTCATAAAATATTAATTTACTCCATAGTTGTTATTGCAGGGATATGTGTTTTCCCTGACTTATCATACTTTGAAATAGTGGAAATAACTAGGAACCTGACAATGATATCTCTGTCATGACTGCTGACATTGTGTTTCAAGAAGGCACATGTCAGACCATTGTTAAAGAAGCCTGGAATGGACAAGGAGGAATTGAAAAACTACCGCCCAGTATCAAATCTGCTTTTTCTGTCTAAGATCTTGGAGAGGGTTGTGTCCCGGCGTTTAGAGGTTCATCTCCATGCAACCAGTCTCCATGACAAATTGCAATCGGCCTACCGCATGGGACACTCTACTGAGACGGCCCTCCTACGTGTACATAATGACATAGCTTCTGCATTGGATAACAAGTGCAGAGCGGTGCTTGTCATGCTGAACTTGTCAGCTGCATTTGACGTCATCGACCATGGCATACTAAATACACGTCTTGAGTACTCTTATGGAGTGACTGATACCGCACTATGCTGGATACAGTCTTATCTGAGTGAACGACGACAGTGTGGTGCCATCGGATCTTCCACTTCACATGACAAAGTACTAGATTTTCAGGGTTCCTCAAGGGTCGGTGCTAGGACCACAAAAGTATTGTCTGTATTACAAACCGATCGCAGAGCGTGTCGTCGCCATAGCCTTTGCTATCATTGTCATGCTGATGACACATAAATGTACATGGTCATCAAACCATAGGACAGATGGGATACAATATCAGAATTTTCCCCAAAGTATAAACAAACAATGGCTCTCCAGCTCAATGTCGGTGCCAGAACTATTGAGACTGTCCCAGTTGTTAAAAACCTAGGGGTATACTTTGATAATACGCCGAACATAGAGAAACAAGTGAACGCTTGTGCCAAATCCTGTTACTACCGGATCAGGAACATCGGTCCAGAACACTGCAGCACGTCTGGTTACTCATGCCTGAAAGAGAGAGCACATCACACCTGTGCTATATTAATTACACTGGTTACCTGAACGATACATGTCGAAGTACAAAGTTTTGGTGTACACACACAAGGCACTGAATGGAACAGCTCCCCAGTACCTACAGGAGCTTGTAACAATGTATCAGCCGTCACGATCATTGCGGTCGGAGACAGCATCGTTGTTGTGTGTCCCAAGATATTGTTCTGTGATCTTTTGAAACAGGTGCTTTGGGAGGGTTTCGGCCACATTGTGGTAGATGGTAGGCTATACCATCTGCTATTAGAAAGTCAAATACCCTGGTCAAATTCAAGAAGAACATAAAAACTCTCTTCTTCACGTCTCCAATTTTGGCTCTCTGCGCAGACGTCATGTACATACTACCCTTTATGTATTCATGTATGTGCACATTGAGATGCTAATCGTCTTGCTTAATGTATACTAGTGACTGAAAACCGTTTTTTTTATCAATTATAACTCTAATACTATTATAGATATGCTGTAAAGCGCTTAAGAGTAATTTTAAAAATTATATAGGGCGCTATATAAATGTTGTATATAAATGTTATATATTATTATAACCGAAATGTGGTTGTTCCTTGGTGTGAAATGCAAGGATTATTCAAGTTTGACTAGACTTTCTGTTGCATTTTCTTTTGTTTGCAAGTATAATTGCCCAGGCTCTCTCCCATTATTATTACTTAAGTGTGATTGCCCAGGCACTCTCCCACTATTATTACTTAAGTGTGATTGCCCAGGTACTCTTCTACTATTTTTACTTAAGTGTGATTGCCCAGGCACTCTCCCACTATCATTACTTAAGTGTAATTGCCCAGACACTCTCCCACTATTATTACTTCTTCAGTATAATTGCCCAGGTACTCTCCTACTATTATTAATTAAGTGTAATTGCTCAGACACTCTCCCTCTAGCATTACTTAAGTGTGATTGCCCAGGCACTCTCCCCCTATCATTACTTAAGTGTAATTGCCCAGGCACTCTCCCACTATTATTACTTCAGTATAATTGCCCAGGTACTCTCCTACTATTATTACTTAAGTGTAATTGCTCAGACACTCTCCCACTATCATTACTTAAGTGTGATTGCCCAGGCACTCTCCCACTATTATTACTTAAGTATAATTGCCCAGGCACGCTCCCACTATTATAACTTAAGTATAATTGCCCTGGCACTCTCCCACTATTATTACTTAAGTGTAATTGCCCAGACACTCTCCCACTATTATTACTTCAGTGTACATGCCCAGACACACTCCCACTATTATTAATGCAGTGAAAATGCCCAGACACTCTCCCACTATTATTACTGCAGTGTAAATGCCCAGGCACTCTCCCACTAGTATTACTTCAGTGTACATGCCCAAACACTCTCCCACTATTATGACTTCAATGTACATGCCCAGGCACTTTCCCACTATTATTACTTAAGTGTAATTGCCCAGACACTCTCCCACTATTATTACTGCAGTGTAAATGCCCAGGCACTCTCCCACTAGTATTACTTCAGTGTACATGCCCAAACACTCTCCCACTATTATTACTTCAGTCTACATGCCCAGACACTCTCCCACTATTATTACTTCAATGTACAAGCCCAGACACTCTCCCACTATTATTATTTCAGTGTATATATGCCAAGACATTCTCCCACTATTATTACTTCAGTGTAATTGCCCAGACACTCTCATACCATTATTACTTCAGTGTACATGCCCAGACATTCTCCCACTATTTTTTCTTCAGTGTACATGCCCAGGCACTCTCCCACTATAATTACTTCAGTATAATTGCCCAGGTACTCTCCCACTATTATTACTTCAGTGTACAAGCCCAGACATTCTCCCACTATTATTATTTCAGTGTACATGCCCAGACACGCTCCCATTATTACCTTTTTAGTGTATATGCCCAGACCCTCTCCCACTATTATTACTTCAGTGTACATGCCCAGGCACTCTCCCACTATTATTACTTCAGTATAATTGCCCAGACACTCTCCCACTATTATTACTTCAGTGAACATGCCCAGACCCTCTCCCACTATTATTACTTCAGTGTACAAGCCCAGACATTCTCCCACTATTATTATTTCAGTGTACATGCCCAGACACTCTCCCATTATTACCTTTTTAGTGTATATGCCCAGACACTCTCCCACTATTATTACTTCAGTGAACATGCCCAGACCCTCTCCCACTATTATTACTTCAGTGTACATGCCCAGACACTCTCTCACTATTATTACTTCAGTGTACATGCCCAGACACTCTCCCACTATTATTACTTCAGTATACATGCACAGGCACTCTCCCACTATCATTACTTCAGTGTACAAGCCCAGACACTCTCCCACTATCATTACTTCAGTGTACAAGCCCAGAAATTCTCCCACTATTATTAT